ATACATTAGGGTGTATCAAAAAAAAAAAAAGCTTCTTAATTGCAACAGAAAAGTCCGCCGACTTACAGTTTTCGATTTTTTTCATATTATCTCATTTCCAATTATTTGAAAAATATCTCGTTTCATAGATTTTGTAGGAAATAAAATGCTCTAAAAATAATAATAATAATAAAAAAATTTAATCTCAGACCGTTTTTGTACAGCAATGATTTTTTTGTCGTTGAGTTATAAAAGTAATAAGATTTTTGTCTAAAATAATTTTACCGTTCATATCTTTTAAACCGTTAGTTTTACGAAAACATCGTTGGGAACCATTTTGTAGAGCAACCAATTTCTTATAAAACCAATGAAACGAGATATTTTTTCATGTAGTTGCAAGCGAGATTTGAAATTTTCTACCCGATAATAAGAAAAAAATAAATAACTGTCAAGCAGAGGATTACAATTAAGGTCTCATACTTAAAGAGATTTTCGTAGAGGTGCCTAAGAACCCATTTATCAGAGTACCAAGCGAAGAAATATATATGAGTTTTTTTTTTGATTCACCCTAATATACATAAACATATAATATATAGCGAGAGTTAATAAATTTTTCCGATTTTTCACTGCAAAATATGCAACAGTTACACTTTTTTTTTTAGAATCTATTGAATTTTTAAGCCATTGGCACATACTGGCTTATGCCTCATACACTCAATTTCCATTAAATTCACTTCTTTTATTTGCCAGTCCCCAACTGACTGTACGCGACTAACACGCGCTTAGCCTGTGGGGCAGCAACCGCCAAACGGTCGTGTCGAAATGCCATTTAACCCGGTTGAGTGAGAAAAAAAAATTTTTTTTGCACAAATATACAACTCGCATGCACATACACACACACACATGTCTACGTACAAAATGACAATGTATGCATAAGGAAATATATGAATTTGCGCGCATATATACGCAAACAAGCGAATTCCACTGCATTATATATGGCAACACTACGATTTATATTTCACAGTAACAATTTTAATAAAAACACGCACACATATACAAGCACATACAAATTGCGGCACGTATGTGCGGCATGCTGTGGCAGCTGCGAGTGTAGCATTGGTGCTGCTATCTACAATTTACCTGCCCGGCGGCTGAACACTTAATTAAATGTTACACATACCGCGTGTAGAACAACTACAAGGCCGTATGCTGCGTGTGTATGCACAGCACAGTCATAGATATGCATTTTTTTCGTGTTTTTTCGCAGACAGCCAACACCTCAGCGTGGCAGCGCGTGCTTGCAATGCATATTTTTGGCTTATAGAGCACAAATGTGTGAGCATGTACAGAAAAAACTATTTGTTTGTGCATTTTTTTTTGTGCTGCTTTTAAAAGGTACCGCTTGACAGCGGTTCACCGACTTTCGCGCCGTTTTTGGCACTGAAAAACGCGTTTTCATATTTTTATAGCACACATTTAGGCTGTTTCATATTACTGTAGCCCACATTTAGGCTGTAGTTGGCGAGCACTTAATATAATACATATATACATGCATATTGCCTTAGCTTACATGCCAACATATAACCATCAACCGTTTAAACTGACCTCCTGCTGCTTTTGACGCCTGTCAAGCTCAACACTCACATCACTCATACGCCCTGCACGACCTAACACACAGCACCTCAGCAAATGTGCAGCGAAATAAGCTAGTTAAATTTAAAAAAAAATACCAAAAACAAAACATAACAACAAAAACAGTAAAAGGTATAGCAACAAAAACAATGAAAGGAATAATAACAAAAACAGCAAAGTTACAAAACAAAAACAAAAAAATCTGACAACATCATATATAACAAATTGTTAGTCAATTATAAGGTTTTACTATGTAAATAACACTTGATTAAAAAACAATTTGCATGAAGCCAATTAAGCGCAGCAATGGCTGCTGGAAACGAGTGCGTGTCTGTGCGAAAGCATACAGACAACAAATTATATGAGTATATAAAGTAGAATGCTAAGCAATATACAAAAAGCAACAACGAAAAATACAAAAACAAGAAAAACCGTTGACTTCGTTTGCACCCAAGCAAAAATGCTCTCGACAAATGAAAAGAACTTGATTTTGATTGGTCCGTTTGTACGACAGCTATATGCTATAGTGATTCTCTCTGAACAATTTCGTCGGAGTTTGCACCAATGTTTTGGACTATAACTCGTGCCAAATTTCATGAAGATATCTCGACAAATGCAAAAGTTTTTCATACAAGCACTTGATTTTGATAGTCCAGTTTGTATGTCAGCTATATACTACAGTGATGTGATATCGAAAATTCTGACATACATACTCGTATAATTAGCTTTTTAAGCAGGAGTAACGTTTGCAAAATTTTTTAGCGATAATTTAGAAGCTCAGCTCATCACGCTGATCATTTATATACAATACATATGTATGTAATTTATATGGTCTCCGACATTTCCTTTTGAGTGTTGCAAACTTCATGTTTAGGGTATAATAAATTAGAAAAAAAAATTAAATGAAGACAAGGAAACATTAAACTAAGCAAAAAACATTTAATTGTAGCATGCGAAAGAAAACACCAAAAAAACAACAAACAACAAACAGAAAACAAAAGGAATTAAAAACATTGTAGAAATTTGAATGCCAGCAAAACTTCTGCCGGAAAACAATGTGATGTGGGTCAGTTTGAGTAAAAGTAATTAAAACTTTTATGCATACCGAACGCGTACAAGTTTGTGCGCAATTATATGTCTGTATGTATGTGTACATTTGGGCACATTTACATTGTATTATCTGTATCTGTATTTGTATTGTTGTAGAAAATTTTGTATGCTATTAACAATATAGCTGGAACCTTTTATTAGATATTAGAGCGCATAAATAGCAAGGAATCAATTCTGTTTGCAATAAAATAGCATTAATACGAGAATAATTAATACTTGTTATACTTAATATCCAACATTTAAAGATTAAGAACACAAAAATAAATAATTTTAATTTAAGAAAAATATGTTTCAATAATTATTGCAGAAAACGTGAGATAAGCAAAATTTACAGTTAGAAGTTGATTTCCAGCGCTATCTTACGTACGAAAAGGCAGCTCGGATATTCCTTGAAAGTTATTAATAATTTATTTTGGCGATTTCCAGCCAAATTAACTCAAAATTATAGTTTATAGTGAAATATTATTATATATTCATAATTTTCAAATAAAGTGATCGTAGCGACATCTATCGGCTCTTTTATATAGAGCTTCAGCTTTTAATGCTATGATTCTATAATTTATATAAAATAATAGTATCCAAATGAAAGCTTCTAAAATAATCTACGCTGGAGCCAATTTTTGCGTGAAAATGCTCTCATCATACTATAGGGTGATCCATTTTGGGTGTTTCAATTTAAAAAAAAACACAAAAATTTGATGGAAAATGTTTATTAGCATTCGAGAGAGCATTTTTTGGCATTTGCTTTTTGATGATTCTCTCTTGCAAATATTAGCCGCGGCTACGTCTCAGACGGTCAATCCGTTGAGTCCAATTTTCAGTGACTTGTTCTAGCATTGCCGACATAGACTTTAGACTTTACATATTAACATAGGCAAAAGTCTAACGGTGTGATATCACACGATCTTGTTGGCCAATCGACCGGCCCAAAACGTGAAATTAACTGCTCACTCAAGCGCTCTCTGAATAAATCCATTGATTGTTGCGATGTGTGGGAAGTGGCGCCGTCTTGTTGAAATGACATGTCGCCAATATCACAAGCTTCAATTTCAAAAAGGAAAGCATTCAGTTTCAGGCATCAAATAGTCGTTCCTCACCGACATAATTTTTGAATAAATAAGGACCGATGATTCCACCGGTCTACAAACCACATCAAACCGTGGTTTTCCGCATGAAATGGCAGCTTTTGAATTTTTTCAGGTTTATCTTTGTTCTAAATGCGGCAATTTTGCTTGTTTACATACCCATTAAGCCAGAAATGGGCCTCATCGCTGAACAAATTTTGGCTTGCCATAGAGCGAAGTAATGTCGCTTGAGATGGTCGAGCTGCTTCAGTTCTTGCACAAGCTGTATTTTATACGCTTTCAATTTAAGATATCACGTAAAATACGCCCAAAACTATGCTATAAACTCTGATAGTATACGTTATTAATTGTTGTAACATATATTCTGATGTTCTGGACAAGAGTACTGGTTGCTGCTAGTTCCAAACGACCTACAAACGTCTGTTGAATTTTTATAAGAAACGATAACATGTCAAACCTACCATATACTGAACGACTTAACATTCTATATATCACCAACATTGGATTAACAAACGAGCTAAAAGCATAATTTTTTAGACATGGTTCTACCATAATGAGACTTGCTGAATAGAAAATTTAAAATATTTCAATAATTGGACTTAGAGGGCTCAATATGTGAAAAATTCAAGACTATAGCATACTTTTAAGAGCTGTGGAGTTAAGAATATGGATAATTCTTATAAATGAGTGACGCAAACAATACATTTTGCTCGCAATTTTTACGCATAATGGAAACTATACGCACCGAGAAAATTTTCTATGCGAAAACAAACCTTTTTGCTCGAAGTTTTATATAATGGAATTTTTTTTTATCTATAATTCGTTCTATAAACGTAGAGAAAATTTTCTTGACTAATAATTCTTAGAAGGATAAAGGTACTAGATCGCAAGAAAATGGAAAAGAACGAGTCTCTAAAATTATATTCGAGGTTGAGTTAATTTTCGCTCGAGATTCTCGAACATATAGCTTCATATTTTCGCTATACTCATACTTCTAGTTCATTTTTAAATCAAAAATGTAATAAAATCAATAAATTAAAACGTCTACCAGCTTAAAAGCATCACTCGCAATAGACGTGTGGAATGCACGAAAATTTTTCTTGGAATTCAATTTGTTTTTCGATGCTGATTTTTATGCTAGCTTTCCCTTACTGCAACGTGTAATTTTCAATTTATGTTATTTTTCCATTGCAGGGAAATACGTGAGGGTATCATACGTTGCATATTGGCCACGGATATGGCACGCCACAATGAAATACTAACACAGTTCAAAGAGATTACACCTATATTTGATTACTCAAATCGCGCACACATCAATTTGGTGAGTAGCTAGGCAATTATATCGAAATATTTGAGTGAATACAAAAAAAAATATATTTGATTTTTTGACTACAGAAATTGTGGAATTTCAGCTCAATTCAACTCTATCAAAAATTAATAAAGGAATTTCAATACAAATTTGTAGCATAATTTTCAGAGTTTTTTTTATAAAGACAATATATATTCCTTAATAAATATAAATATTTTTTAAATTTATTTCAAAATAAATGAAATGATAAATTAATAGAGAATAATTGTGTAATATTTAGTTTCAAGCAAGCCTTCAAAAAACAAAAAAAAACAAAAATTACGCAATGGAATTTAGAAAAATTTTAGCATACATTTTAGCTGAAAGCCACTATTGCAAAAATGTTCCCAACAGTATGCTAAATATATATCAACCAGGCATTCATTTAAACTCTGCACTCTCTTCTATAGCTGTGCATGGTGCTCATCAAAGTGGCAGACATCTCCAATGAGGCGCGTCCCATGGATGTCGCTGAACCCTGGCTTGATCGTCTATTACAGGAATTTTTCGCACAAAGCGCTGCTGAGAAATCTGAAGGTTTGCCTGTTACACCCTTCATGGATCCGGATAAAGTGAGTAAACCCGGTTCGCAGGTACGTTTCATCGGCTTGGTGCTATTACCGCTCTTTGAGGCGCTGGGTGACTTAGTGCCTGAAGTGATTGAACTCATCATAATACCAGTGCGCATAGCACTCGATTACTATAGGTAAGTAACCGTTACATAATAACTATTTTCAAAGTCTCAACTAAAACAACGTTCTTTTTGTTATAGACGCTTAAATGATGCGCAGAATAAATCGCGCAAATCTGTCGCCGACACCATCTCAATGGTCGCATCGGACAATACCAGCGCCGCCTCGGATGGTGGCGGCAGCACGACTGCTGTATGTACAAGTGGTGGGCATGCACACAGTCCAGCTGCTGGTACTAATGGACAGATAACCGGCACCAGTACCGCATCTACGGGCACTACAACCACCGGTACGTGTGGTGGCAGTGGCGGCGGCGGCGGCTCGGGCAGTGGTGGCACCAACTCTGGCGGCAGTATTTCACCACAAATGCCACGCTCACAATCGGGCATTAGTGTGAAGTCCCGCCGGAGTATACCATCACAGAAATCGGCATCACGCACCTCTGTCGATGAGCCGCAATGCTTGGCAGCCGAATTACACGATCTGCCCGAGGGTAGTGAGAGTGGTGATTCCGAGACGGCAACCGAAGTCGATGTAAGTAGCAGTTCAGTTTGAAGGTATCAATAAATTAGTATTTCTATTCGTGTAAATATTATGTATTTTCATCTATAGTAAGCGGCAGGGGGCGCTTTAATCTATATTAGAGCCTTAGAGTATCAAAAGGAAAAAAATCTGCGTTTTTTGAACAACTAGCTTTGCGGTTATTAAGGTTCACACTTAATCTAGATATAGAAGTATTTTAAAGTCTTCTGCTATTGAGATACTGTAAGAAAAATGAGGATTGACTTAGATCTGTTAGTAATATTTTTGAAAAATCGTATCTGTATGTACCTCGAATGAGCTTAAATGTAGGTTACGACTAATTTTAGTCTAGGAATGTCTTTTCAGGAAAGTTTTTTAGTACATACCACAACAATAATATTAAATTAATGCAAATCTAAAAATTTTTAATTTTTCCACTTTTTAGTATTCAAATACCTAAAATCTCTTGTAAAATGAGCTCCAGTACCTTCCTTCCTGCTACTTATACTATGCATACTGAGCGCTAGCAAAACTCTTCCCTTTAAAAATTCACTATTGAGAGTAATTTAAGTTTAAATTTTACGTTATTATGCTATCCACCGTGTATACGCACCAGCATTTTAAAGCGGCGAAGAGCAAACACAACAAGAGCAAAACAAAAGCAATAAGAACTTATTTATTACCTATTTCCATTTGTATTGCCTACTTATGAGCGCCGAGCAGCCACGAACGAAGACTTTATCTTTCTGACAATTTGCATGGCATTACATACATTTACATATACCATAGCACCGTGTATAAATAATAATAATAACAAGGCTATACGTTACGCGAAAAAATATGGCAGGACCGCGCGCGCTAATCCTTTTTGAGCCGTCGGCGTGAGGCTTGTAAATACTTACAACTTACAGCTTTTTATTTTAATTTACAACGGTTAAGCGCAGACACGCATAACAGCACGCGCTGTACACTGTATGATTGGCTGAGTGACGCGCTCGCTCTGTAGTGACTTAGTGAGAGCAAGCCGCGTACGAGCGCGGATGAAGCGCGCACAACCAGAGAGCGGCCGCAATATAGGTACGTTTATGTGCGTTAAGGCGTGAGATAAATAGCGTTGCACATTTTTATGTAGCAGCGTAATTAATTGTTGTTGTGTATGCTGTTTGCAGCCTTGTTGTATGTTACGTTTTTTACGCTATATAAATTTGATAATGTATATTTTTGTTTTGTTACGGTTTTAATTTTTATGACAATCCCTTTTCCAATAAAAGCCACACAAGTGTACCGCAACAGTAACTAGCGAAGCAATTTTTACAATTATTGCGGTTGCGGCGCGCACAAAAGTATGCCACACTTGAAGCAACAACAGCGCTAAACTGCTGCAAAGCCAGCGGAAAGTACTTCCGGTGCTTAGTTGTTGAGCATTTTACGTTTTGCCTTTTAAAAATTTTCTTTACGTTGTATAATTAAAAATGATTGCATAATTTCGGGGTCACTTAAGTCGCTTTGGAGCGCTTAATTTCAGCATTATGACAGCTAAAATTAAGAACCTGGCAGTCGTGTGTAACAAATTCTGTAATTGTAAACCGCAAGTTAGTGTTGCAGCATAAACGTGTGCTTTAATATGTCGTTTCCACCTACTTTAAAGGGGTAAGCATAATTTGTGTGGCACAACGGTAGGCGCGTAAATGGGTTTTGAAAATAATTGGCGCACATTATTAGCTGATGTGAGGCGTAACAGTTACGCAAAAATAGGAATGATGCGTGAAATGCTATACCCAGCGCTTAAAAGGCCTAAAAGTATGCTATTTGCTGCTATAGTCTCTTATTGCAGCACATAATTTCTATAGTTTTGTATTGCGGGTTGTTTTACAAACGTGCATGTGTATTGCGAATATATATCTTATGCGTATATGTATAACCTAAACGTAATTTTGTACTTGGGACAAATTTAATGAATGTATGCCTCAGTAACGTACCAAATAGTAGTATAGTTTAAGGAATTAATGTCTACCTTTTTGTGAGAAAGTTTAAATTAATAATTTCTGTAAGCGCGCTGACAACTATGCTATACTTTGCATTTTGTTATGAATTTTCTACTTGGGTGTGTTATGAAAAAATCAAAATAAATGTATTAATTTAATTCAAAAATATCGTTTTGCGAACAAGTCTTGTAATAACCCAGCTTAAGGTAAAAAAGAACAATTTTATATACTTTTTAAAGCCAACGACCTGTAAGGAATCTCAAAAATTGTTTCAAAAATAACTATTTTAAAAAATTTAAAATTTTGAACAGATACCAAAATGCCACTAGCTGTTGTGAAATCCAACTAAAGAGAAGAGAGATAGCGAGAATATTCATCCACATAAGGTATTACGAAAAACTGCAACCGTCCGTAAAGTATGCTTCATTTTACGCAAGGTTTTGAAATTTTCAGAAAATAAAAAAATGCATCTATAAATGCCTTTCTATATATGGTATACAGTAATAAATTCAAAAAAAAAATTAAAAAGGAAATATTTTTAAACCCCTCGACGTACGCAAACCTTTTAAATAACGACTAGCAATTGTACTGTGTAGCCGATTTGAAAATGATAAAAGTTCGATTTCTAAGCGCCGCCAATGTTTACTAGCTGATCAAATGGTATATGATCACTCTTTAGAATTAAGTGCAACTTTTTTCGACACAAACCCTCATCACAACTCCTCTTGCAGGTCGCCGAGAAAACTTCCAAATTCAAAGTGGATACCGAGGGCAGCAGCAATCGTTCGAAATCCTCACATTCTACATCCCGTAAGTCATCACGCGAGAAGCGCCCTTCCATGATCGGCGAAATGTGCAGTAGCGGCGGTGGTCAACGCATACGCAATTCTTACGGCAACATACACGGCTATCACACCAATCGCTGTCACTTTAGCTCTAATCGCGCTGTCAGTCTGGACCAGTATAGCACTAATAATCGACGTCTCTCGGATGGCCTACAGCAAGTCATTTCCGATAGTAATGTCTTCTATAATCGTCAAAATCGTGGCAGTCTCGAAGCAGCCGCCACTCGCCTGGGCGATGATCTAAATATGAATGCCACAGGCGGCGCTGGTGGCATCGCGGGTGTTACACAGTCTTCCCAGCAGCCGCTCAATCCGAACAATGTGCCAAATGTGGAGTACAGCGCCGGCATGGCAGCGCAGGTCAGCGGCGCGTGCACCAGTCAGTCTTGCCAGCATCAACGTGTACATCATACACATCACATCAGCCAGCATCAACAGCAGCTACAGCAACAGCAAATACAGCAACAACTACAGCACTTACAGTCATCGTCGAACGGCAATCTTTCACCCACCCAGTTGCTGCCACCGAAATTACAGCAACACTGTTGCGCCGCCGCCGCAGCAGCTGTTGCCGCTGCGGCTGGCAACACGTCCAACGGTCTCGGCGGCAATGGCGTTGGCGGCGCTACCATTTCCAAGTCCACCTGGAAAACACGTCTAAAACAGTTCTCCGACTACTTTGGCTTCTCCTTCGACAAGGGCGGCAAGCGTTTCGGAAGCACACGCAGTTCACCGTGCCCGGCGCGTAACAATAATGGCACTGGGTTGACGGGTGTCAACCAGACTATTGATCCGTTGCTCGGCGGCAGCGGCAGTGGTGGCAAGCCGCAAAGTATTTGCTGCACCATCTCGAATAATCTGCAGTCGCCTAGTCTGCGACACAAATCGTTTGCCGCGGGCGCCGGTCTGCCCACGCATTCGGAGCTAGTGAATGCCGGTCGTTTACGCGCCTACAGCTTGGACGTGCCCTGCAGTAACACCAGCAATCCGCGCTACAGCAGCAGCAGCGGTGGTGGCGGCGATAGTAGTCGCAAATCCTCGCGTCATGATGGCGGCACCACCGGCACCGGCGACGACAACAATAGCAACAATACGCTACATAGCAGCGGTGGCGGTGGCAGTGAAATGCCCACTTGCCTACCGCCGCCCATACGCATTGGCAGCGTTGATGCCAGCGACACAATATTGATAACGACTGGCTTGCCGCGCGTCATAACGCCCGCTCAGTTAGGCGAGACCGAACCTAGTTTGAGCATTGACTTGGGTATGGCAAGTGGGTCCTCATATGAGCCGCCGAAAATTTGACAACGGGGTAGCTCGGAGACGACAACGAACTCGCTCTCGAATAACGGCGCATTTGCAGCACTGCTACAGCAACAGCAACAGCTGCAGAAGGAGGCGGCATCGCTGCGGCACAGCTCCAGCTGTAATATGTCCTCAATGTCGTTGACCGTTTGGTCGGCGCTGGGACAACGGCTCAGCGCATTGGTGTGTCATTGCTGCGAACGAAAGTTACCCGAACCGGAAAATGTCTGAAGCGCGCAGTAGGGCGTGAGATAGGGAAAGACATATGGAAACTCGAAATAAGGTAGTGTAAAAATGTGTTGGAGCAACCAAAACAATTAAAAGGAACAGCGTATTGTCGTGGCAAAAATGTTGTTGGGTCTTGAAAAGGTTTAGAAAATGGAAAAAAATGGAGGCGTATGACTTAAAGTTAGTAGATGTTGTTACCGACATGTTGCAGGTATATTTAGTATGATGCTACAGTTTGGTATTCCAAAAATATTTTAAAAAAATGTCGAAATGTTTAAGCATAAAAGAACTGCAGGAATAAATATATTGGATATTAATGCTTCAGATAATTGTTACATTTTTCAAATATAATTTTCAAGTAATCAAAATATATCTCACATGGTTTTAGATCAAATGTTGCTAGCAACATGTTGCTGGCAGTTATCTTGTAATTTAAGACACAGTTTTACGCAAAAATATCTGGTTAGAAGTCTACGTGTATATTTTTGATTGTATTAGGAGCTTAAATAATTTTTAAAAAGTTTTTGAAAATGTTGTTGGCAAAATTTGTATCGAAAAAATTTTCCGAAATTTTTTAATTAGAAAATACGGACTAAAGCTGGGGAAACTAAGTCCTAAGTAGGTTCTAATGAAGTTATTCTATTTTTAATTTTAGTGTCTCAAATATGAGCAAGTAAATCTTTAATGCAAAAAAATAATTTTTGGTAGCCACATTTTAGAAAAAAATTTATTTTTTAATTGTATGAATATTAGCAAATTCATTTTGACTTTGATTTTAAATAGTTTGTTTCAAAAACCCCCAAAAAAAAAAAGAAATTAATGAATTAATAAATACATACTTATTAACCTTTACACCTACATCTTTGTTCAAACCATGCACACGTGATGTGCATTTGATTGCCGTAAACAATTCTAGGTGTTGTGCGTATGTGTTATTTTATATATAAATTATATGTTATTTGTAATAAAAAATATTTTATGTTGTTTAATAAAATTTTTAAATAATTCATAATTTTTAATATTTTCTGTCTAAGCGGTGCCTAAATATTTTATATTTATTGCGAAGAAATTTTAATAAATTAATTTTAATTAAAAATAATTTGTTATTTACAAATTTTAAGCTTAAAACATGATTACTTCAAATGTTATTTTGAACTATTTTTTAATTGTTTATATATTTTAAAATTTGTAATTTAAAACTTTTATTTGTAAATAGCAAAATTCAATAATATTATTAATGTGTATTTTTTAATAATTAATATTTTGTTTATAAACAGATAGTCATGCCAATAATCATAAGTAGCGCGGTAAACAATTAAAATTGGTAACAAAAAACAATAATTTACAAAATATTTTATGAAAATAAAAAAAAATTATCAAAGAATAACGTTAAATCAACAAAATAAAACTTAATATCTGCGAAATATTTAAATATAAATAAACTAAAAGTAAAAGTCATAAAAATAATTAGTGTCAAAAAAAGAGAACTTAAATTATAAAAATGTATAAAATCAGCAAATGTAGCCGGTACTCAATAGAAAAAATGCATTTTTATAAATTTATAAGAATTAAATAATCAAGAAAATGAAAACTAAAAAGTAATTACAAACAATTTAAATAAAAAAATTAACTAACAACAAATATATCTAATATAATAAATAAAAATAACATAAAAATAATGAATTAATAGTAATATAAAAATAAAATTACATTAACAAAAAAAATTTTGGTCTAAATATGCAAGCCTAAAATGTCACTAACTTTGAAATTTAAAACTACTATACCAATATTTCTAAAACTTTGAATTTTGCAGATAAAAATTTTAATATATGTTATATAAATATAAATATGTTAAATGCTAAATTTAAAATTTGAAAATTTATTAACCCCAAAAAACGTTTAAAAATCTAAAATTTTTACAACACCAATGCTAAAAGTTTAGAAAATTTAAAATTTGTTGATACAATATGATTCATAATTCAAAATTTATAAGACCAAAACAATTTTTTTTTAATTTTAAATTAGTTAAATTTAAATAAATATATTTTAATTACCTTTTTTATTTTAAAAAACGATATTCTGTAGACCAGCTGACATTTTAACTAATATTGTTTGATATTTTAGTTGTGCATAGCTCAATACTATATTTACAATAAGTTAGCAAACTGTTGACGAAGCAAATTATGTTATATAATTGCAAAGAGTAAGACTTCTATTGGTTAAACAACTAAAATATATTAACTAGCATTAAGTTTTGAAAGTTTTAAGTTTATAATTATAATTTGCAGAAAATAAAAGCAAAATAAAACAGAAGAGAAAAAAATTAAGTTAAATTTTTGATTTTTGTTTTTTTTTGTATGTACTTGTGTTGGGTGTTACATTTATTTAAAATAATTTAACACACCTAGTGAAGTCTTTTTGCTTTTGCGCCTGAAATATATATTTCGTTAAATAAATTTATATTGTTTGCAACAAATTTTTTTTAATGGCGTGATTTTTAAACCAATTTTTTTTTATATTAATTTTTGTAAAATTTGGAAATTCAGAAAACAAACTGCACACAAATTTTTTTATGTAACTTTTGTAAAATTCTTAAATAATAAAAGCTAATAGCAATGTAATTTTTTTTTAATTTCATAAAATGTTTGTAATTTTTTTTAAATTTCTTAAAAAAATTTAATATTTGAAATTTACACAAATTTTTTATGTAAATTTTTGTTTATAAATAATAATTATTAAGTACATTTTTTTACTTTTTTACAATTTTTGTTAATTAAAAACAAATTCCTTAAAATTTTTAAAATATTTTAATACTTTTTTCTAATAACTTAAATTTATTTAAAATTTTTTTTTAAATATTTGTAAAATTTTAAAATTTTTGTAAAATTTTTATATATTCCGTATTTTTCTGCATATTAAAAAAAATTTTTGTTAATTAAAAAAAATATTCCTTAAAATTTTTAAAAAAATTTTAATACCTTTTTCTAATAACTTAAATTTATTTAAAAA